ATCCGTTCACGACACCACCGGTAGGCGCGCCTTCCCGGATATAGGCAGCACCGCCCTGGTCTTCACGCTTGAAAGCGAGAGGAGTGAGCTGGCCACGAGCGCCGGGAGGACGGTACGCACCCGCGGGCTTGACAGGAGCCTTCTTGGTGCTCAGGTAGGCCACGGCGGAGGGATGAGGGGTAGGCAGAGGGTTGAAAGGGTCACCCAGTGGGTGCTGCTCCAGAGACTGGGGACGCCAGAACACATCATAAAGCTCAGTCATTTCCTCGTTGTACATCAGAGCGCCGCTCACGTGCCAGATACGAAGTCCGTTGTCCACGCGCAGGCGGGGGCTGGTCGTGGCGGTTAGAATGAACTGACCGTCGGGAGACCAATTGCAGACACTGGAGTTGGAAGCCTCCACCGTGGCGATCTTGTGGTAGTTCTTGTCCATGTCGTAGATATCCATCTGACCCGCAAGGTTACCGAAACCGGCCACAAGGACGAACCGACCGTGCGGAGAGAATTGAATGGTGTTACGAGGGCCGAGCGGGAAGCTGTGCTTGGGGACACCGCGAAAGTTGAAAATGGTGGTTTTGGCCGGCATGTAACCATAGACCACACCAAACTCCTTCGAGTTGGGAGACCAGGTCACATCGTGAATCGGGCCTTCCTTGTCTAATGCAGAAACGTTAGTACACCATTGTCTGGATTCATACCACATGCACTGATTACATACCCAGATCCACACGGGAGTCGAAGCCACCACCTGCACTGAGCAAGTAGAGGGTGGTCTCGCCGTAGTAGCTCTTGCCCGAGCGATCGACATCCGTCTGGGCCAACACAATCAAGGTTGTGCCCTGCTCGTTCCACTTCAGCTGGACCTTGTCACCCTTGAAGAAAGTCTTCTGCGAGACAGGAGCGCCAAACTGAGGCACCAAAAACACCTTGACGGCGGCAGGTTGTCCCTAGAAACCCAACGTCAGTATACAATCGACGCGGCTGGTAAATGAGCTCCGCATGCATACCTTGCGCTCCGGAATGAAGACAGCAATGGAAGTGTTCTTGCCGGGAGAGATGGCGAAATCAGCGACCCCCTCAACTCGCAGCTTGTTCCAGACCTGGGAGAGGTTCTCGCTCTGGTAGAACTGGACTTCATTGGTGACGACGCGCGCGCAATGACGCTCATCGGAGGTGTACTGAAGGTTCCAGCCCGTCTGCGACTTCTGGACGAAGCTGCCCACGACTACATTCTCATCTCCGCTGGACACGACCTGCCAGACCTTCAGATTCTTCACAGCATCACCATTGGCATCCTTGGTGGGACGTTGCCAGGTGATCAGATAGGTTCCAAGCGGCGAGAAACCCAGCTCGAAGACGTTCTCGGCGGCAATGGTGGAGACAACGTGTCCGACAGACGGATCGATGATTGTCACCCTGAAATATAGTCAATCACGCTGTTGGTTGGCTGTTATGCAGGAAGAGCTAACATACTTGTCGGGAGAGGCCCAGGCGAAATAGCGACCGCAAGGAGAGTAAGCGCTACAACGGAGGTTTCCCTCAGGTCTGCAACCACGAATCACGATCAGTAAGCTTTCCTAGAAGAGGACAGTGGCCATGCTCCTGGGATGATGGGACATACTTCTCAAATCCAGACAAAGGTCCATAGACTGGGGCCGCATCCAAGATGCCAACGCCCTTGACCGTACGGTCTGTAACTGATTAGTGTTCTGTTCGATATGTTGGATGTGCACCTCGATAGCCTGCAGAGACGTCGACGTGAAGAGCATGAGGAGGGGTGGGGTTCGAGCGGGAAGGACCTACAAGCCAACTGTGTAGGGGCTGCCATTTTCAACGATGTGTTATATCGGATGATACACGGAATCGCAAATTCACAAAGCTAGCGGAAGACGCGCGCCGAAAGTCGCACTGACAGTTCAAGAAATCTGACAAAATCCTCTGAAATCCAAGGTGTGGACGAAACAATGGCCGCAATTCAACGGTGTAATGGACGGGCCGATGGCGGCAGAGGATGGGGATGAGAAAATGTCGATCGAATCGCGAAGGATCGAATCCGAGGATAGGTTGCTACTGGTGGAAGTAGCTGGAGAAGCAGGTGGAAGAGTGAACAAAGCCGCGACGAGGACGTTTGAGGACGTTCGAACTGAGGCAGTGAAGAACAACAGGCACGCGCGCACGCACACACACACACACAAAGACTGTGTAGACTGGGCGGGTGAAGCTTGGCAGATAGAACGGGAGGTAGATCTTGTGCTGTGAAAAGTCCCAGAGTGTTCCTTGTGCTTGACAAGTCAATGCCAGCTGGTGAAGATGGACAGGGAAGACTGAATTGGAACCGTTTGAGAACGAAGACGAAGAAAAGAGAAGAGGAGGTAGAGAGTAGAAGTGGGGGGGGGGAGGAGGAGAAGGAGGAGAGAAGAAGAGGACGAGGTGGGGGAGAAGGGGAGGAGGGGAGGAGGGGAGGCGGCGGAGAGGAAGAGAAAGTTGGTGATGGAAGAAAGAGGCGAAGGAGAGAAGAAACAAGAGAAAGAAACTGGGACTAAACTTGAGTAAGTTGTTGCAGAGCCTGAGGAACCCACCGGGTGGTGGCACCCACAGCCACTACTGGGTAAGGTAAAGTATAGAATACCTAATGGCGGGAGCCGCCGAGGAGAGACTGGCTTTACTGAGTACTTACTATCTTCTTCATTGGGCGCCGCCCGCCCACTTTTTGCCCACCTTCTCTCCAGGCTGGCTCCCCAAAAGCCCCAAAATGTTCCAGACCCGGTTTGATTATCTCGATCATCAATTGGTTTCTTCTGATCGTTGACTGCGTACTCCGGAGTAGAGAAGGGATCTAGTGATTTGTTTTCTCACTAATTCTTTTTTTTTCCTTCCCCATCTCAAAGTACATTTCAAAAGGTAATTCATTCATTCTTCGTGGCAGTCAGACTTGGAAATGGTCGCCAGCCTTATTCTACAAATCCTATTTCGTTTTCTTCTTCCTGAGGTGGACTGGTCGCCCAACATCGCCAAACAAAGCCTATACAAATACATTCTCCTCCTTAATAATCCCCCCAAATCGCTGGTAGCAAGACTTCCCTACGGAAAACAAATACACCCACAAAAATGAACACCTCCATCCCTGAACGCCAAACAGCCCTAGACTAAATCTGCACCCGTCGCATGTGTTTGGCAAAACAACCAACTAGATCTCCGGATGTGGGTTGCCACCTTCCGCTGGAGTGGCCAGGCGAGGGGTTCTCACCGTGGTGTCTACCACATTCGGGTCATAGGTCATTCCATCCACCATCCGAGCATCCTGGGTAGGCTCGGGAGTAACGGATCCAGTTGGGGACGCGGTGGATAGCAGCATTGCCGTGTCGCCGCCCGAGTGCTGCGAGGCCACGGGATTGACGCGCACCAGCCCTGGACTGCCGAAGGATCCTGGTCGGCCTCCTGACGAGGTCCGATTCAGCATGGGGTTCGAGATGGGCCCACTGATAGTACTGGCACCCTCTCCGAAAGCGACCAGACTGGCATCGCCCTCATCGCTGAAGTTGCCCACACTCGATGTGCCGTCTTCCGGGTACTCACTCATCTTGTCCGCGTCGAAGGCATCACTGCCGCTAGCCCACGTCGTACGGGCGCCCACACTGCCCGTGGCACTGGCACTGCCCACCGTGCTGCGCTCTTTGATTCCCGATCCGCTTTCAAAGTACCCGGGGTGGTGAGGCGTGGGCACAGGGCCGCTGGGTTGCGACGTACCACCCGCGCGGGCCGTGGCCACTCGTTCTAAACCGGCCAGGCGCGAGATACGATCGGCCCGTTCCGCTTCAAGAGTACTGGTAGAGGTGGTGGATGCGGACGGAGAGTGATGCGCATGACGACCGTAGGGGTGCGGCTGGCCTTGGTGACCGTCCTTGATGGCGGTGGTCGACAAGGCCGAAAGCGAAGTGGTGCCGGAGTTCGGAGTTCCTCTGCACAAGAATGTCGCGATTTCATGTCAGTCTACAAATTGAGGTGGAAGAGACAGAGAGCACGAAACAGTCAGGTGGTGGGTGGTCTTACGGTCCCATCTCAGAGGGAGTCACAGGATCCGACGGCGGCGGGGGCAGGTTGATCAAAGTTGGGGTCGTCATTCTGTTCATCTTGAGTTGATTGTAAGCTGGGCCCCGAGACAGTATTGAAAGGAAGAATGGCTTGCAAGGAAGTGTAGCAGTCAATCCAGTAGGATGGGAGCGGGGAAGTGGAAGCCGGAGGTCAGAAGAAGAACCCTGAAAGTAGATAAGAGGATATGTGGGGCCTGAAGAAGAGGGAGGAGAGTGAGAACAAGAAGAAGGAAGACGACGACAAAGGCGAGGATTGAGGAGGATGGCGCATTCCAGGCCAGTTATTTAAGGTGTAATCTGCCTCTCCCTCGGTCTCCTGGAAGGTTTCACAATTGTGGGAGCTTTCAGATGCCAGCAAGGTTGATAGATTGATAAGAATAGAACAATAGTATAGTATAGTCAGACGTAGAGTACGGATGGGAAGGTGTAGTCTCTAGGCGGCAAGTAGTTGTGGTGAACGGAGGAGGGCGCAAGAGTGAGGCTGATGAGTGGGCCACCGGAGAGGAAGGGGATGCGACGATGAAGTGGATGAAGTCGCCTCCTTTTATGTTAATTATCTGGGTAAGTGAGCACAAGTCGCCGTTCTTCCAAGTTGCTTGATCCACTGCTAGTCTGGGATGTCTGGGATGTCTGGGATGTTTGTGGGGGATTGGGGAGAAGTTTATGGTCCACAAGATTTCCCGTGCTGGAGAGGAAGTACTGGCTGGACTGGCTCTCTTTGGCCGGTTTAGTCTACCTAGTACCAAATGGCCGCTGATTTGCCTCAGGCTCAGCGCTCCTGGAGAGCTGGAGTGCAACCACTCTTTCCGTCCCCATTTCGGTGTTCCCATGATGTCATACACTCAGTGAAGCTAATGACAGTAACTTACGGAGTACGGAATACTCCGTACGACCAGAGGTGATGGTGGGGGTTCTTTGTATTGATGCCTCAGGCTTCGAATATTGAACGGTGGAGTACTGTACAGGAGTACTGTACAGTACGTACTAGGTATCTCAAGTCAGAGCTCCATCCAACCTCCCAAGTCCCATATTGGAAAAATCATAATAAATGGAGAGGTGGCCATCCATCATCGTGGCGTTTCCTTCCTGGAATATCAGACAGCACTTCCTTTAACCAAATTCTGTAGCTCTGAATCCATCGCTGCCACCACCATAGATTCAGCCACTGCTGCCTCGAGGGGGAGGGGCTATTCATAGAGCATCGCTCGCCTGATCTGACATGTCCTTTCAATTCCACTTTCCACTTTCCACTTTCCAACAGCCATCTTATTAGAGGAAGTCTAAAATTGGTCATTCACCTCCTTTTCCCGCTCCTCCTGCAGCCGCTCCTCCGTCAGTTCCCACCACCAGGCGTGCGAAGCATCTCGACTGGAGCGCGGCACTAGGCTTTTCCGGATCTCCTCAGGCTCATCCCAAGGCTTAGGGCTGAGGATGTAATGTACATTCTTGACCCGATCATCCCTCCAGATGGCGTCGTGCACCCCCTCCCATCGTAAGGTCTTCAACGCATTATACACATATGGAAGGGCCACCCACCGGCCATGGAACACGTCCGAGAGGAGAGATTGATCTGCAAATTCATAGTTCGATGTGACCGACGAAGCCAATTGAGCAACGATCTTATCATAGATGGCTGGGGACGGGTTGACCACCTGTAAGCCACCGTTGGGCATCCCCAGACCGGCTGTGGGCGGTGCCCCCTCGATCTGGGCGGCTTCCGGGTTCGAGTGCTGGGAAGTGAAAGCGCAGTTGGGTGGGATCCTTGCCTCGTCAGTTCTTCACGTATCTCAATGGCACAGCATGGTCGCATACCAATCCTGCGGGTAATGGGATTTTTGAAGCGGATTGCAAACGCAGGCATGGCTGGCAGCGAAAACTCGTGGTCCAGTTCCTGCCAGAGCCGGGGGGTCCAATTCAAGATCCATCAGCTCATCCATGTTCTGGCGGACCAGCATGTCACTGTCGAGCTGGACCACCCGCTCATACTCGACGAGCGAGAAGGGCGTAAGCTTGCTCCAGCAATCGTAAAAGCGCACGTCGTTGACATAATCCTTGGGGACTGAGGGCAGCAGATAGGGGACCCGTTGCTTCAGAATGCCGCGGGCATCGAGGGCGGCATGGCCCTCATCCGGAAAGGAGTCTGTGTAGAGCACGACCAGGGGATACTTGGAGCCCACTTTGCGTAGCGAATACTCCAAGGTGAGCAATCCTGGAAGATATGCCGTATTCGTAATGAGAGTGGTCCACACTGAAGGGGGGGGGAAGGGAAATGGGATTAGCTATCATTCCCAAGTCTACTACTAGAAAAAACCAAGTGGTAGTGAGGGTTGCTTGGGTGGGAATGAAAAGCACCTTTAGTGGCATCGGTTATGCGGGGAAGGTCACTGTTGGTGGTGGTCATGGCTGATTCTCTTCTCCGCGTTTCACGGGTGGGACTGGCAACGACTGGCAACGATTGAAGGTGCTGTGCTGGTTCGAAGAACGAGAGAATACGAAGCCGCAGGAATCAAGGGTAAAGAGTGGAAGAGGGTTTAAGGAAGAAGAGGGAGAGAAGAAGAAGAAGAGGAAGAAGAAGAAGAGAAAGAAGAAGAGAAAGAAGAAGTGATAAGGGAAGGACAAGGCAACCGATGAAAGGCGCAATCGGCGTCTGCTTCTTCTAAGTTCTAACGTTTATCGGAATCTGATTTGATTAATATTATTATTGTACTGTATGTATTATTATTATTATTGATCGATCACCTTTTGGGGTCATGCAGTCAATCCTTTCTAACCGGGTTGGTGTTAGTGAACCATTGTTGACTGGCCCTCAAGTATCCATCATTTCTTGTCTGGCGTCCAGAATAGAACATCCTCTTCTACATTGACACATTTTTTGTGCTTCATCCGATCGACATGTAGTAGAGTAGAGTAGAGTAGAGTAGAGTGTGAGATAGTTAAGTTAGTGTATGGTCAATGAACCGAACTTCACAATGATTGATCAACAAATCCACAAGATTAGAATTTCTACAGCAACCCTTCCGAGGCGGTCAGGGTAGCTACAGTAAGTAACTGTCAGTACACTCGGCTGTCAGTAACTTACTATTATTTGTCACTATCCAACTATAGTTCTCCTCTACACTTAACAACTTCTCCCCCTTCATTCCCTCCTCTGCCTCTCTCTCAGATTTGACCATTATCTGCTTCATTTTCCCCCCGCCCCCCTCCCCCCTAACCCAATTTTCCGCTTCTACTTCCTGCTTTCACACGGCCTTCCGTGTCGCAGGGTGGATTTCCTGTAGAAATTGCCCATGACGGAGCCTGACCACGAGGCGCAGCCTCTTATACAGGATGGGCGGATTGAGGCAGGCTTGGAGTCCTCGAGTCTTCCAACGGCTCAAGACCGACCTGAGCTGTTGGAAGCACCTCGAAGCAGTTGGTATCTCTTTGTCCTGACTTTGGGCATGTCAGGGTGAGTCGGGGTGAACTGTTGAGTCTACTATCGACTAGAGGGGCTAATTGGTTCGTTTGTCGCATATTCAGTCTGCAGATTGTCTGGTCAGTTCAACACTCCAGTGGATCGGTAAGGGGCAATTCAGCCTTCAACAATGGTTACTTCGTTGCACATACCCCCATGACTAATTCACATATAAGCCCTATCTTCTTTCTCTGGGAATGAGCAAGGCCATGCTCGCTTTTGTCTGGATTGCAGGGCCTTTGACCGGTACCATTGTGCAGCCATACATCGGCGCACGAAGCGATAATTGTCGCATTGCCTGGGGCAAACGGAAACCGTTCATGGCCCTGGGTGGAGTAGTCCTTGTCTTCTGTCTGCTGACTCTGGCCTGGGTACGGGAAATTGTTGGTGGTACGCTCAGTCTGTTCGGCGTCGATGCGCAATCAGATGGAGTGCGAACGACAGTTCTCGTTGTTGCAACACTGCTGATGTACTGTCAAGACTTTGCCATCAACACCAGTAAGCCAACCCCCACCGCCGTTTCCGGGCGCCTCAACTGACAAGCACACAGTTCAGGCTGCAACCCGAGCTTTCATTGTAGACAACGCGCCTGCTCATCAACAGGAGTCCGCCAATGCCTGGGCAAGTCGTCACAACGGCGCTGGAAACATCCTCGGCTATGTTCTAGGCGGCATGGATCTCCCCAAAACGTTTCCAGTCCTAGGGAATACCCAATTCAAAGGCCTTTCGGTCATAGCCAGCGTCTTTCTGGCAGTCACCCTGTCTCTTAGCTGTGCCTACATACAGGAAAGGGACCCGCGCTTCGAGCCCTTGACATCGACCAGGCCGGGCCTTCCGTCCTTGTTCCGCTCCATCATAGACTCGGTCCACGGCCTCTCAAGCCGAATCCGACGGATCTACCTGATTCAGGTCCCGGCGTGGTTCGCATGGTTCTCCTTCCTCTTCTACGCAACCACCTATATCGGCCAACTTTACGTCAACCCGATCCTCGACCAACACCCCGACCTCCCCGAAGACGGTGTGAATAAGATCTGGGAAGACGCAACCCGCATCGCGACGCTCGCGCTCCTCGTCAACGCCATCGTCTCTTTCGCAGCGAGCATCATCCTGCCTCATCTGGTCGTCCCCTCGGGGCAGACATCTCTCTCGCCCCACCATCAGCAGCCACCCTATCCTCCTAGCTCTCACCGCAGGAGCTGGAGCCGTCTACATTCGCGGTTCCTCCACATCCCCACCATCCGCGGCCTTACCCTCCGCCGCGCCTGGCTTCTGTCCCACTTTCTCTTCGCCCTCTGCATGTTCAGCACCTTCCTCATCTCCACCCCGGCCCAAGCATCCATCATGACCGGCATCATCGGGATCTCCTGGGCCATCACCTCCTGGGCCCCCTGGGCCCTCCTGGCCACGGAGATCGCGCGTCACCAGCACGACGACAAAGCACACGGTAGTCGCCATCCGGCAGCGCGTAGGACCGATCCAGAGTCAAGGGCCGCGACAGCCCAGCGACCAGCTACATCCAGAAAGAGACCCGCTCCCAATCAAGCAGGCATTACCCTCGGCCTCCACAACGTCGCAATCTCCTTCCCGCAGATCATCTCCAGCGCCGTCAGCAGCCTGATCTTCCGCGCGTTACAGAAACCCCGCGCCGAGCCGTGGGATGCCTCCACCGGATGGGTCATGAGACTCGGAGGGTGTGCCGCTGTTCTAGCCGGCTTACTGACCGTTGGACTCATGGAGAGCAAGGGAAATTTATAATGATTATTTTGGCTGGCTCGCTTGCGGAGACAAGACAAGCGTGAGACTGACATATTACAAACTCCCAACAATAGGATGGTACAGGATCAGTCCAACCACTAGAATCGTATTTCATATAGTGACATGCAAACCCTTAAGCTAAGCCGAGGATAGACACGAGGAAAGAAAAGGCAAAAGTAGAAAAGAAACCGCTATGCTTCGTCGCTCGTTGCACTTCAACACACATGTTTACACAACTTTAACGATACAGAACTATGGGATGGTATATGTGATCGGTAAGCTGGAAGTTAGCGGTCTTCAATGACTCGCCTTGCGACTCTCGTAGTGACCGCGTAGGTCATCCACCTCCTTCTGTAATCGGGTGAGATCCGCCAAAATGTCGTTGGCGTTCGACGGATGCGGAATATAGTCATCTTTCGCAGCGGCGACCGGTGGCTTACTTGACCGGAGGCTGCGGCGCACACTGTCCGGACTGTGGTTGCCGGATCCGCGCGAGCGCCGCGGTGGCGGAGGCGGGGGGTTCTGGAGCGAGGCGCGCTTGGTTGAGGGACTGGGCGAGGCCGCCCGCCCAGGCTCCCTGGGGGTCCACGGGGTGGGGGAATCAATCTGTAGTGAAAGGCGGTTTGAGGAGGACGAGGACGGCACCGACTCCTCGGATGGCGTGCTGGCCAGGCGGGGATCTCGTGTTCGGGTGGGGTGCAAGGACCACGAGCTCGGACTCGGGGGCGGGATGGCCACAGAAGCAGCAGCAGCTGTAGCGTCTGCTTCTGGCGGTATGGAGAGTCGTACCGGGTTCACTTTAGCGGAAGTGGTTTTTGAGCGCCGCATCTGACTATGTCGGCGGCTCAATGGAGGGGTCGGAGGCCGCTTGGATTGCGACTGGCTCCGACGAAGCACGTCGACTGGGGCTGACTGGGTGGAACGGCTCGTTTCCACGCCAGAGAAGTAGTCCGTCGCCGGTTGGGCTAGACGGGGTGAGTACGATGGTTCTGAGGGTGTACCACGGAGGGAGAATCGGCTGGAGGGTTGACCGGGAGTAGATTGGGAGTGAGAAGATGTTGCGCCCGGACTAGGATTGATGAGCCGTCCATGGTGACTCTTGGGCGGCGGAGGGGGGGGCATTCTGTCTCGATTCACGGCACGGCTGGCAAGCGGACGAGGACGAGAATCGGTTGAGGAAGGCGTTCCCAGCTCTACCCGGCCTGCTGACCGCAGGGATGGTTGAGAGACATCGGGGGTACTGCCGTCAGAAGTACGGGTGTATTCGGTCGAGGCAAGGGACACAGAAGAGCCGGTTCGTCCCATTGGGTAGGCATTCTCTTGCCATGATGCCACAGGCCGACGTTGCGTGTGATAGTTCTTGGTCCGGATTGTCTGCGAAACCGCAGCGGTTGGCTGCACTGCCGGTGACCTTGCCGATACCGAAGGGTGTGAGTCTACAGCATCGACGGTTGACCCGTCAGTATCTTGGTCGTCGTCATGGTCATCATTTTCCTGGTCACTGGCGAAAGAAGGTTGATGGAACGGATCTGTATCGGATTGATCATCGGACGAAGCGGAGTCGACGAGTTCGGGCGGATGCGTGGAGGTTGAGAAGCTGGGGAAGCTATTCGACCCCGGAAACGGTGAAGGTTCAGGCACGGAGACGCGAGACTCTGGACTGTAGGGAATTGAGACTGTCTTGGATTGAGAGGGGAAAGTAGTATCTAAGATGCCGTTGAGTCAGTAACAACAACAATCACTCGAACAGTCAAAAGTCAATGGATGGAAGATGTGCCTCGCCCAGGCTGCGATGAATGAATGCATGAAAGCAATCCGGAACCGTCGGAAGAGACTCACTCGCGGGCTGGCTAGGGCGGAAAGGATTGGATCCAGACATCGCGAAGGAGGAAGTGGAGAGCAGCACTGACCATGAGAGAGGGGAGGAAAGGAAGGGAGAAAGTAAGAGCATAAAAGTCTAGGTCTAGAAGTCAGAAGTATAGAGAGAGAAAGAGAGAGAGAGAGAGAGAGAGAGGTATCGAAGTGAGTGAGAGTGAGATGGGGAGTGGGAGTGGGAAGAGCTGCTGAGCTGAGCTGAGCTGAGGGGGAGGCAGTAGTAAGTTAGTTAGTAGTTAAAGTAAGGAAAAGAGAAAGAGACCCCCCATTCATTATTCATTCATTCATTTATTCATCCCGGATTCCCCGCGCGGCTTCCACAAACCCATCCGCAAAAGTAAACACACGCCATAATGCAAGTATTGTTGTACTGTACCCCACGTACTGTACCCTACTGTGCAGGAGGTCTATGGGTAGTTGTGTGCATTATACGAGCTCAAAAACTGGGTTGTGTCTTCTTTATTGTAGGTAGGTTACCTAGTGGTGAGTGACTGTAACAACTGTAACTGTGACTGTGATGCTCATTCTACCCCTTCCCAGAGGACCGTTGAACCGGTTCCGACAACATCTGACAAATGAAAAAACAACAATGATGCCCATGGTTATGAGTCTGATAAAATCCAAAGGAGGTATATGTTACAATGAAGATAATAAAGAGAAGGACAAAAGAAAAACAAAAACATAAGCATGCAAAGACCAACCACAAAACCCAACATACCCCCTCCCAATAGAACACCGTCAGTTGTACAGTACAGACACACAAAAGCAGTAGTTAATAAATGGTCATCATCACAGTATTGGCTTTCTTCAAGGTCAATGCCCGAGAAAGCAGGGTATCAACACGCCCGTGTATCAAGAAGACAAGTAAAGAAATAAAATAGAGAGGTAATTTGCATCCGGGTGGCAGGCTGCCGGCCCCAGAGGTCACGGCCGTTGTTCAATCGAGGATTCATTGCTCGTCATACACGTGCCACTCGTCGTTACCAAAGAAGGACTGCGCCAGACCTTTGCCACTCGCGGTCGGCTGGCTGAAGGCAATCTGTTCCTTGGGGATTTCCATGCCGTAGATGAAGTTGCTGACCACACAATCCAATAAATCCATAGCAATTCCCTTGCGACGCGAGGATTCCGAAGTCCAGATCCGAGAGATTCCCACGATAGCCGGGTGGTGTTCGTCGCGAACCGTGACCGAGGAGTCGGTGGTGCCCGGGGCCGGGGCGGAGGATTTCTGGATCGGTCGAGATTCCCAAATCCGCTCGGTCAAACAGGCCCCCACGCAGCGGCTATCCTTCATGTGTAAGAAGACCTTGTAGCGATCTATCTTCTCCGTCGTGCCATTTTTGCGTAGGTGAACCGGTGGCTCTGTCTGGCTCCATAAAACTTCGTCTTCGATGATGGGGGAAGAAAGCTCCTTGCAAATGACCTCGAGCACCTTCTTGGCCTGGTTCTTTGCCGTTGGGGATGCTTTGCGATCGACAATGACCACATATCCCTCGTCAAAGCGAGTGGCTTCATAAACCCAACGAGATGCGTTGGCGCGCATGAATGCCTTGCCCAGATCCACCCCAGTCGAGTTCATTTCGTGGAATTTTTTGTGCGTAGCTGCGTCCTCCGCATTTGAGGGCACATATTCCATACCGCAGGTCGCACAGGTTCGCCGCACCTCACAGCCTACATCGATCTGCATCTGCTTCAAAGCGCCCGGTTGTTGCAATTGCGGTGTCGCTGGGGTTGACGTGGTTGCCGTCGTTGCCGTCGTCGTCGTCGCGGCGGCGGCGGTCGTCTTCTTCTTTGGGGGATCCATCGAGGCACGCACACTATTGGAGTTGACCTCGGTTAAAGGCGTGCTGTTACCGGCAGCATCTTTGGTGGCAGTGTGCTTGCGTTTGAGAAAAGCAAAAGTCGGTTTTCGCGTATTGGCGGGCGGGGGGCTTAAACGTGGCGGGGGCGACGATGGAGGCGTCGACAGATCATCATCCTGAGTTCCTTCGGAGAGCACGACTGAGTTGCGACGTGATGGACTGGATAGCACGGCAGCGGATGATTCTCGGATGGCATATTGAATACTATTCTCCGCCTCATCCGAGTCGAAGCCGGATAACGCGACGCGTCTTTTTTTGGCGGCGGGTCCCTGGTCATCGTCATATACGCGCCACAGCGGACGCCCGTAAGTTTTCATCATGAGACCTCTTGAGGAGCGCGATCGCGTCAGTGAGGCAGACATTCCATTTTCCAAAGAAGGGGGGACTCACCGCTTGAATGAATTTGTCACAGTCCACGGCATCTCCCTGGATTAAGTCGAGCGACACACTCAAGCGAGGTAAATCATCTATGGCGTCTGTAAAGGAGGCAGGATCACTTGTGCGGGAGGGAGGGATGAGGCTAGAGATGGTAGGGGGGGAGGGGGGGCAAGCTATAGGAAGAAAGGTAGAGGGAGGGAGGGGAGGGGGGGGGAAGATCTTTCAGACGAGAGTAAGGAGAGAACGGTGAAGAATCGAGTATTTTGGAAAGGTGAGGGCAGTGATGAAAAGATTATGAATTTCAGTCAACGGCCAACAAAGTGAGAGTAGGGTGATGGAGAGAAGGGAAATAGGAATAATTATTTTTTTGGAGGTTAAGTCAAGGGAAGTGGAAAGAGCAAGAGATAGTTAGATGATGGAAGAAGGCGGCGGCGGCGGCGATGATGATGATGATGGAAATACCTTCTTATGGCAATAATAATAATTATTCGGTGATCGACGGGAACGCGTGAGGTCACTAGTCCCCATTCGGTCATATTACTTCTAGAAGAGAATAACGACCAGGAATAAATTAACGCCTTTCCTCATTCCATCCATTCATTCATTCATTCAAGTTGATTCAATTGACTAAGTTACTTATTGATTCATTAGTTATTCATTCTCCATCAACCCACACTCAGTATTAGTACTCGACAGCGAAAGATCCAGAAACAATTTATAATAAGCACTGCTTAGAATTTCCTCCAGCATCGTATTGTATATCATAATCATCATCACCATAGTAGTTAAGTTACTTTACACATGTACTCCCATACAATAATACTACTATGTAGGTACAGTAGATGCTGTAAGTTAGATCCCATAACTCATCCCATTGGCATTCTCCCGGTGGCGTTGCTCAGGATGCGTCAAAAAGACGGCTTTTTCTCCCCTGATTCGACCCAATCAACCGCCAGCCTCTCCGACAGCAGGTGTTACAAGTGGAACAATAGGCCCCCGGGATCTGCCTTTTGTTCGCCTTACAACAGGCTGATGATTACCTTTCCTGAGTCTTCATAGGCAGGGCCAGCCAGCCTGCTTGCTGTTGCTGTTACTGTTGTTGTATCATCATCATCATCATAATCATCACCCATCACCCAGCATCATATTATTGTTATTCTTATCGTCATCATTTCTTCTTCTTCACCATCGTCGTCGTCACCTCGCACCTCCTGTCTATCGGCAACAAACTACCTAGTACCGACTCAACACAGACCACCATCCCCTTCCTCCCCTCTCCCCCCCCCCCCTATTTACTCCCATGATACTGGATCCTAAGTGCGACCACTATGAATAATTAGGTGTCACTACGTAGACAGGCAAAGAGTCAATCAGAGTCAACCAAACCCCGTAAGATGTGACTCGTCCTCGTCCCAACCAAGCTCCTGTGGGGTGACAGCTCCTTTCCCTTCTCAGCTCTCAATTCATCGAGCCAGTGTCTTCTTGCCCCAGGAATCCTATTTATGTCCTCTGGAATTCTTCTTGGAAAGAGTAGAATTCAGGAGGTACTATGTTAAACGACCAGCCCAGTGCATGCATGCCTAAGAGACCATCCGTTCGGCCTCTTCTCGCTTTTCCGCCTCGCCCTTGCTGGCTACTTACCTTTCTTGATTGTTCGGAGCGAGCTCGAGCACAGTCGATCCACCTGCGTTTGCCCGCAGAGATAGCTAGGTATGTGAACTGATCACATTCTTCTTTTGCGAGGGAACAAAACCTGCTGGGAAGGTAACCTCAGACCCCTTCGGATTCTGTTCACTTGATGCGGAGGCGACACACCTGCACCGCACACATGGAATTGCCTTGGAAGAACGGCATCAACAGCTGCAATCCAGAACCTAGTCGGCAGTAGGAACGCTTCTCATTCATCCACGGCCTCCTCCCCAGCATTCCTCGCGGCTATGGGGTAGAGTCGGGCGGGTGCTCAGAGCTTGGACTGCTGAGCAGCATGATAAGAATCTCTACCCCGCCTGATCGACATGGTCTTCAGGCCAAAGGTCCGTCCGTAAAAGCATCTACAGCAGATCGAGAGAGTAGATGGAGTCCGGGAGTCCGCAGCTGTGATGAACGGGAAACATGGAAGGATTCGACCGGAGCAGCTGCGACCGGGGTCCGGATGAGACCCCAATGGGAAATTGGGCGAGGTGCGACCGGGACTGGGAGGGAAGCCCTCGTCGGACATGAGCTATCTGCCTTGACAAAAATATCAACAGTATCAACTCGATTTCCACTGGCTGACACCCGACTTTTCTCGTGGGTTGCACCTCGAATCATGATCACGTTACGAGGTTGCTCCCGCTGCACCGGGGCATGGACCAGGGCAGCAGCTGTCACAACCGGAGAATCCGGTAGAAAACTGGGCGACTTTCTCACGTCAGACCTGAAGGAAGCAATGGGCAAGGTCTACTAAAGTAGTTAGCTGTCAAACCCAGCACTCACTTACTATATAGTATATAGTATATAGTAAGTCAACTAGCATAGAATGACTAAAGCACACGTAGTCACACATATTGGAATGTTGGTCCCTCCGTACAGTGAACTGACAAGGAATTGACCATGAAATTGAATTGGTACCTGAGGCCATCCACTGCTATCGATAACATGTACTCTGTGACTAGGTAGCACGCCATCCCGCCGACCGAGGATGGAGACAGTAGATAGAGCACTAACTTAGATACTGATGGATGGATAACAATCTACAGAAAACCACTTTTAAGGACCATCGATTCGGAGCATTCGGGATTTAAGCAATTGATCAAGCAGCACATCAGCGGCCGAATGGCAAGCAAAAGCACAATTATCGGAGGGAGAATGTCTCCGATGATACCCATACTAACTACGGAGTACTCAGCTGGCAATTGGAAGAGGGCTCCGGGGGGCCTGGACCGGCGCTTCCTGATTGGGGCGGAAACCCAAACTCTGCCTGTCTTAGTGACCTTTTTTTTTTCTTCTTTCTTTCAACTCCTCCTGCTATCTATTGCTTCTGCTACGACTGTTGCTGTTGCGGTTGCGGTTGTGGTTGCGCTTTCGGTTTTCTTCAACTATTACTTCTTCTTCTCCTTCTTCTACTCCTCCTCCTCCTCCTCCCCCTCATTCAGGGAATTTTTCTCGTCTCCTGTTATACCGTATAACGACTTCGCCTTCTCCCCCCCTCTCCTCCTCCGCTCCCCGCTCATTTCCATACTACAATTGTTCTATAATATTAGAGGCGCTGTTGTTTGATTCTCGCCTTCTTGCTGCTCTCCCACCTATTTGACCGGCCACTTCTCTTGCGTGCGCCCGTCGTGCTGCCAGTTCGAAGGGATTGTGGCTGCACTAAGATCAGCAGCCCGGAAATAATTCTACACCAGCTTTTAACTCGTTCGGGTCAGCTGTGCTTCGAAGACATCCACTCCGGCGCTCGTGTCCTTTAAAAACTCCGTTTGCGCTTTAAAATTCTCTCTCCATCTCGGGTTCTTTTCTTTTCCCCAGTCGGCTTATTTATACTTTCTGTCTTGCACCCCCGACAGACAAACAGTCTCGCTTCGTCAAGAGTTATATTTTTTTAAATTCTTCAACTTCGACTGTCATCATGTCGGACGCCTCTCTTCAAAACGCCGGCAAGAGAAAGCGCGCCAGTATGTATACCAATTTTCTCTTCCGAGGCTGAGGCTGGTTCCTAGATGATGGAAGGGTTCACACGCCCGCCGCCTTGGCCTTCTCTCTCTCACCTCATCTCTGTTTGCTTTTCACCCCCTCTTCCCCTCATTTTTTCGCGCCGACCGCCATCATTGTCAGCACCGTCCCTGTCAAGCACCGACGATCATCCGATCGCTTTTATCAGCCTTCTTCGACTACCCTAATCGCTATCATTTTTGTTTTTTTCTTGTCCCCTACCATCCTATCTCTCGATTGAATACTCGGGTCTTCGGCCTTTTCGCTTCTCTGTCCTCTCGCTACCGTCGCTTTATCTCCAGTATGGCCGCTAATCCGGATCAACTGCCAGGGACCCAGTCTTGCCCTCCGCCTGAATTGCCTCAGCTCGTCGCAGAGCAACATGTTCCGATTCCCGCTCATGATAAGGACACTCAGCGTCTGATCGTCGTCCTCTCCCATGCCAGCTTGGAAACCTACCGCGCTTCTAGCGGCCGCAATGGCTCGAGTCGCGACGAGAAGTATTCGCTCCTCAACAGCGATGAGCATATTGGTGTCATGCGCAAGATGAACCGGGATATCAGTGAGGCTCGTCCAGACATCACACATCAGGTTGCTACCCGCCCTTGTACCCTTCTCTCACAACCGCAAAGTATCTAACGCACATGCCCCATTAGTGTCTGCTTACCCTGCTCGACTCCCCTGTGAACAAGGCTGGCAAGCTCCAAATCTTCATCCATACCGCCAAAGGGGTCTTGATCGAAGTCAACCCCTCTGTCCGCATTCCCCGTACCTTCAAGCGTTTTGCTGGCTTGATGGTGCAGCTTCTGCACCGTCTGTCCATCCGCTCCACCAACTCCCAGGAGAAGCTCCTTAAGGTCATCAAAAACCCTATCACCGACCACCTGCCGCCCAACTGCCGTAAAGTGACCCTGAGTTTCGAGGCTCCAGTCGTCCGGACCCGCGACTACATCGAGTCCCTCGGCCCCAAGGAGAGTGTCTGTATCTTCGTGGGTGCCATGGCCAAGGGCCACGATGACTTTGCCGATTCCTTCAAGGACGACACGATCAGTATCAGCAATTACAGTCTGAGTGCCAGTGTGGCCTGTAGCAAGTTCTGCCATGCCGCGGAGGAGGTGTGGGACATCGTCTGAGCCTAACTGCTGGAATGACCCCTTCCTTTTTCCGAACATTGGCCCCAGATTGACGAGGTGACGAATTTCTTTGCGTGAATGTGGGGGGTAGATGCGGGGTTGGATTGCGAGCTGGAGGTTATCCGGGTGCCGATCGGGGACGAAGACCTGCCGTTCCTTGCTGTGTCACTTTTGACCTGTGTGGATTTTGCATCGCCTACTAGCTCTTGCATGTCTTGGTGTCTTTGTTCCGTGTGCTTTTCGCTTCGCTGCCGCATCAGCTACACGCCCGATGGAGGCCGATGTGATAGTCGAACCCAACCCAATGATTCCACATGACTTGGACCTCTCTTGTAACGCTTTGCTTTTCTCTGGCAGCTTCCTGGTCGGCAGGCCGGCAATGGGAATCCTGCCGCAGACCCACGGCCACAACCGCTCTGCGCATGTTTCCGCACCGGGGATCCGCCGATTCGACTATCCCCTGCGAGACATTGTCTATACTCATCCTTGCCTCTCTCTCGCGCGCTCTCTCTCTCTCTCCGCGTGTGTGTGTGTACCCTACTTGTGAATGTGTGCCAAGCTGGTGATAACCCGGTGGCTCATGACTTTCCTGAGCCCAAGCCCTGTCCTGTACCCGTGGAATTCTGTCAGCGCACAATCCACGGACACCAATTGCCTACACACATATAGCGATCTAAAAAAAAATGAAACGAATATCTCAATGGTTTGCAGTTTGCAGTTTAGATGACAGGAGATCTACGGACTAGTCAGGGGAGGGAAGGACTGGGTATTGGCTGAAGTCCTTATTCAGTTCACGCAGGTTTGATATCGGCTATCGACGTCCCGGCGATCCGATGAGCTGTAGTCGGTCGATAGTAGAAGAGTGCGTGTAAAGGGAAATCCGCAGGCGTTAAAATGATCGGGATGAGGTCATTACTCGTGAAGGTAGGAAGAATCGTGTAGGAGAGGGAATAAAAGATGGTTCGAGACCCCTGCTCGGTGACGAAGGAAGGATCGAGGGAGGAAGGACGTGAATTTACTGGGAAGCTAGAAAGAACGAAGAATGAGTGATGAGGGCCTGGAAGGTAGATAGGATCAAGCTGGCTGCCAGAGGATGCCAGAGGATGCCAGAGGATGCCAGAGGATGCCAGAGGATGCCAGAGGATGCCAGAGGATGCCAGAGGATGCCAGAGGATGCCAGAGGATGCC